GGGGAGTCTGCTTCTCCCTCTCCCTGTCCCTCCCCCCACTCATGCTCTCTCTGTCAAATAAATAAATAAAATCTTAAAAAAATAATAAAATAAATAAGTAAAAAATGTACCTGATAAATAACAGGCACTCAATGAAACAGTTACACCTTTCCCTAGGAATCTCCTAACCCCTGTGCCTAGCTCCAGGCCAGCACATTTTAAACGCTAAATAAAAATACACCAGGTAAATAAAAAGATGCTAGGTAAATGAAAATAGGCTAGGTGATGGATCTCCTAGATGGTCCTTAACAAACTGCATTTTAAATAAACAACTCTTACTGTTAAAAAAAAATCTTTTGAGCAGAATTTTGGTCTAATACAATTTAAATGAAAAAAAACAAAACAAAACAAAACAAGGAAAGTGCCTTTAGGCACCGAGGAGATTAGGACTCAAGGGAGTTGAGCTAGTTTTAGCAAGAGACACTTACAGGGTTCTGAAGGTGGTCTAGGTGAGAGGTTACAACTGCTTGGACTAAGGTCATGACAGGAGGTGTAGAGAAATGACTGATTTCAGAATATATTTTCAAGATAGCCATGATATGGCATATTAACATTCTTATGTACATTAAATTAGAAAATGGATGTAAAAGTTTCCTCATATTTTGGGTATCAAGATGATAGACAACTATAAAAGACTTAGAAAAAAAACATGCAAATAAAAAGGTTATATCCTAAGGTTAATATAGAAAGTTCTTTAAATTTCTGCTCAAAATTAAAGACACAGTAGTCAGTAAATTTATTTTTATTATTAATCTGTTTATTGATAAAATGAAACATGTTGAAAATCTGCAAAAAAAAAAAACCAAACAACAACTTATGGAGCGCCTGGGTGCCTCAGTCGGTTGAGCTGCTGCCTTGGGCTCAGATCATGATCCCAGGGTCCTGGTTCCAGCCCCACATGGGGCCCCCAGCTCAGCGGGGAGCGGGGAATCTGCTTCTCCCTCTCCCTCTGCCCTCCCCCCACCTCGTGCTCTCTCTAGCTTGCGCTCCCTCTCTCAAGTCAATGAATAAAATCTTGAAAAAAATAAATAAATAACTTACTGTTTTCCTGTTTTTCCAAATAGCAACGCAAATCATCCTTGCTACGGACATTTTTGGAAAACACTGGAAAGTATAATAAAAAGCTAGCTCTTCCCTTGCAGTTCCGAGGCAGAGGCTGGGGTGCGTTCAAGATTCAGCTCCATCCCTGGCCCCGGCCGAGGGAGGCCCTGCGGCTGGAGGTGTCGTGGACATTAATACTGCTTTACAAGAGGTGCGGAAGACCGCCCTCATCCAGGATGGCCTAGCACCGGGAATTCACAAAAGCTGCCAGAGCCTTCGACAAGGCCAAGCCCACCTTTGTGTGCTTGCATCCAACTGTGACGAGCCTGTGTATGTCAAGTTGGTGGAGGCCCTTTGTGCTGAACACCAAATCAACCTAATTAAGGTTGATGACAACAAGAAACGAGGGGAGAGAGGAGGCCTCTGTGGAACGGACACAGGGGGAGAGCCCCCCCACCCCCCGCCGGGCCAAGGGCTTGCTTGCAGCTGTGTTATAGTGAAGGACGAGGGCAAAGAGTCTCAGGCCAGGGATGTCATTGAGGAGTACTTCAAATGCAAGAAACGAACAAATTAAAGACTTAGCTCTTGTTCCTCAAAGAAAAAAAAAATCTAAAATTTGCTATAATACCACCAGCCAGCCACATATCATGTCGATGCGAACGTTTTGGAGTATTTCCTTCCATTATTTCTCTCTCTCTTATATTTATATAATATAAATATTATCTCTTTTATATTTATATAATTTAAATAAAGAGAGACGGGGTTGGGGGCGCAGGGCACCTGGCTGGCTCAGTTGGTAGA